TTTTCCCCTATTTTCCTCTCTTTTGTTCCCATTTCCCCCCCTTTTCCTGTTTCCTCTCTTTTCCCTCATTTTCTCACTTTTTTCCCTTCCCCTCCATTTTTTCCCTTTTTTCCTATTCCACTTCCCTGCCCTTTTCCCCTTTCATTCCCGTTTCCCCTCCTTTTTTACCTTTCCACCCCTTTTTCCCATTTCCCATTTTCCCACAGGTGGGATGGGATGGGGATGGGAACAGGTGAGAGGACTGGGATGAAGATGGAGATGAGGAAAGGGATGTGGACAAGGCCTGGAGAACACACCAGGGATGGGGAGAGGAACTGGAAAACACACCAGGGATGGAGACAGGAGCTGGAGAATGGGGACAGGAGCTGGAGAACACACCAGGAATGGGGACAGGAGCTGGAGAATGGGGACAGGAGCTGGAGAATGGAGACAGGAGCTGGATTCCACAGTAGGGATGGAGATAGGAGCTGGATTCCACTGCAGGGATGGAGACAGGACCTGGAGAACACACCAGGGGTGGGGACAGGACCTGGAGAACACACCAGGGGTGGGGACAGGACCTGGATTACACAGCAGGGATGGAGGACAGGACCTGGAGAATGGAGACAGGAGCTGGAGAACACAGTTGGAGAACACAGGGATGGGGACAGGAGCTGGATTCCAGAGCAGGGACAGGGACACTGACACCTTGTCCCTCCCCCCCTCTCTCCGCAGGGAGAACCGGGAATCGCGGGCTTCAAAGGCGAGCAGGGACCCAAGGGTGAGACGGTGAGTCCGGGCCCGAGGGGGGGCCGCACCCGGGACCCCCCACTCTGGGCAGGGACCCCTCCCCGTCCCCGCGGCGTCTCCTCGGCGTCTGCCGGGGCCTGTTCCCCTCGGGAGGCCCCTCGAGGGGCAGCGTCCCCCTCCCGCGGGGGGACAAAGGGCCGCTGTGTGCGCGCCCTGTCCCCCCCCGCGGGGACATTCCCCCCTCGCTTCATTAACCACCCTCAATGCCGGGGCTCCGCGGGGCCCCGGCGCCGCCGGGGCTGTGGGGGGCACGTCGGGGGGCTCCTGCCCGGCTGGGGGGGGACGGCTATGGGGGGAGGAAGGCTCCTGGTGACCCCCTTTTCCCTCCTCTCCCTCCCCCCCGCAGGGCCCCGCGGGACCCCAAGGTGCCCCCGGGCCGGCGGGCGAGGAAGGCAAGAGAGGAGCCCGCGGCGAACCCGGCGCTGCCGGTCCTTTGGGACCCCCGGGAGAAAGGGTGAGTGTGTGTGTCCCCCCATCCCGCCCCAAAACCCACCCCAAAAAAATCTCTCCTGACTCCACTTCTCCTCCTCCTCCTCCACAGGGCGCTCCCGGCAATCGCGGCTTCCCGGGACAGGACGGGCTGGCCGGACCCAAGGTGGGGGGGTCGCGGTGAGGGGTGGGGAGGGTCACGGGGGACAAGGGGGGGATTTCTAGGGCGGGGACCACCCCCCTGAACCCCCGGAGTCACCCCCAACCCCTCGCAGGGTGCTCCGGGTGAGCGCGGCCCCGCCGGGCTGGCTGGTCCCAAAGGAGCCACCGGCGACCCCGGACGGCCCGGAGAGCCCGGACTGCCCGGAGCCAGGGTGAGAAACGGGGGTCCCACAGCGGGCGGGGGGCACTGGGGGGGGCAGGGGGGGGTCAGGAGGGGGGGGGGGGAGGGGGGGCCAGGGGGGGTGGTGGGGGGGCCCCATTGGGTCGGCGGGGGGGGGCTTTGGGGTCAATGAGGTGTTTTTGGGGTCGGTAAGGTGCTTTTGGGGTCGATAAGGAGTTTTTAGGGTTAAGATGCTTCTGGGGTCAATGAGGTGCTTTTGGGGTCGATGAGGCATTTTTAGGGTTGATAAGGTGCTTTTAGGGTTGATAAGGTGCTTTTAGGGTTGATAAGGTGCTTTTAGGGTTGATAAGGTGCTTTTAGGGTTATGATGCTTCTGGGATCAATGAGGCACCTTTAGGGTTGATAAGGTGCTTTTAGGGTTGTATGAGGTGCTTTTAGGGTTATGATGCTTCTGGGATCAATGAGGTGCTTTTGGAGTCAATGAGATGCTTTTAGGTTTAAGATGCTTTTGTGGTCAGTTAGGTGCTTCTGGGATCAATGATGTGCCTTTAGGGTTGATAAGGAGGTTTTAGGGTTGACAAAGTGCTTTTAGGGTTGTCTGAGGTGCTTTTAGAGTTAAGATGCTTCTGGGGTCAATGAGGTGCTTCTGGGGTCAATTAAGTGCTTTTAGGGTTGATAAGGTACTTTTAGGGTTGTCTGAGGTGCTTCTGGGGTCGATAAAGTGTCTTTGGGGTTAATAAGGTGCTTTTAGGGTTGCTTAAGGTGCTTTCAGGGTCAATGAGGTGCCTTTAGGGTCAATAGGGTGCTTTTGGGGCTGTTTAAGATGCTTTTGGGGTCAATGTAGTGCTTTTGGCCTCGGCCCTGGTGCTCTTTGGTATTAAGGTGTTTTCTGGGGTTGGGTCAGTCACTCTTTGGTGCGAAGCAAGAAATCCTTTGGGGTTAATTAAGATGCTCTTGGCTAATTAAGATGCCTTCTGGGGTGTCCAAAGCACATTTTGGGGCTAATTAAGATGCTCTTCGCTAATTAAGACACCTTCTGGGGTGACCAAGGTGCATTTGGGGTTAAGGCACACTTGGGGTTTGCAAAGATGCTCCTTGGGGTTGGGTGTTCTTTGGGGTCAGATCCTTTTTGGGGTTGGACACTCTTTGGGGTTGGATCCTTTTTGGGATTGGGTGCTCTTTGGGGTCAGATACTTTTTGGGGTTGGACACTCTTTGGGGTCAGACATTCTTTGGGGTCAGACACACTTTGGGGTTGGATCCTTTTTGGGATTGGGTGCTCTTTGGGGTCGGATCCTTTTTGGGATTGGATCCTTTTTGGGATTAGGTGCTCTTTGGGGTCG